CACACACACACAAACCTCCAAAACCCTGTATATAAACCACAGGCTTCTTTACAGTCCTAATTAAAATCTTTTAGAAAAAAGATAAAACAGAGAACAGTTAGGTAAATTAGGTTGCATCTACAGAACTAATAAGGAGTCATTTAAAAATACTCATGAAGGGTTTATAATCATGGGAAAAAGTTATGTAAAAGTGGAAACACTATACCGCTACAGGAAATGCAGACTCAAATCATATAGTGTCTTGGAAAGCATGATTCCAGAGTCAATTAGGGTGGTACTTTGTGATTCTGCCTAATTTCTGCAATAAAGAATGATAAATACCTACCATCTTTGTAGAACTGGAAGGACATAAGGCCTGCATCCATAGCAACAGATATGGGGCCAATTTCTGCCACTGCCTTGGTAAGGGCCTTCTCCCGCTGAGGGACATCCACAAATCCAGTGTCATTAGCTGCAGCAAGTTCTGGCTTGTATTTACAGCTTCCCTCCTTTTAAAGTTAAAGAGTAAGAGACATCATTACCATCATTTACCTCCTCCTAGGCGACCTGAATTTTAGAACTGAAACACTTGGCAATTTGCAGCTTATGCTTTTCAATTCAACCCCACTATAAATCATCTCAGGAAGTAGAATATCATTAGTTGATTAGAAACTCAAAAAATTAAACTGATGTTTCTTCAATGAGAAGCCTTTGCTTGACTTGTCCATAAGAGTTTTTTTTTACAACAGAGATATTTTTATTATATGTAGAACAGTTTGCATATTCTAAATGTTTATTTAATCAATGAACTGTTCAGAGGCTGTAACGAAGGAATGACAGTTCGGAGGTACAGATCCTGTGACCCACAATGAATTCTGAAAAGTGTGCCACTTTCCCAAAATAGCTGGAATGAAAACAAATTAAGGTGCTTCATGTTACCTTTCCTTCATATGGATAGGATTTCTCTGACTCCAGGCCTTTATTTTCCTTAACATACTCAAAGGCAAAATCCATCAGGCCGCCATTGCAGCCCTGATTGCCTTGAGCTCGAGAACAGTCCACAAGGTTCTGCTCACTCAGGGGAACCAGGAGACCAGTTTTCCGGAACATCTGTCCTTCTAGGGACCCAGTTGCACTAAAAGCCCAGCAAGAACCACACTGTCCCTGAAAAAGGAATAAAAAGGCTGACAGTTTACAAGGAAAGACTTGACAACAGTTTATATACAGTATCTAAATAGATATTCCTCATTTCACAACTTTGTTTAATATTAAGCAACCACCTGCATTTAAACTTACAACGCAGGACTGAGCAGTGGTGCGGTCTTACGGTGGCTTCTACAGTACAGTACTGTTACTTTTGCTCCTTGTGCAGTACAAGTACAGCACTGTAAGCTTTATGTTCTGTTATACCTTACCATACTGGATATAAGAGTTACACAAATAAAGCAAAGTAATCAAGTTGGAAGTTTCCTTTGACCATTCTTTGTTCTGAATATTTTTAATGTACACACTATATACAATTCCTCATTTAGCGACTAATGTGCAGGAGCTGAACTTGGTCATTAAACGAGGGGTATCTAGTCCTTTAAAAACTACAGCAGCTTGGCAAGATGACGCACACCTGCATACCTGTAATCTCAGCACTCAGGAGGCTGAGGCAAGAGGATGGCAGTGAGTTCAAGGCCAGCCTGTATTACACAATGAGACCCTGTCTCAAAAAAACAAAACAAAACAAAAAACACAGAGCAGGAAAAAAAAAACAAAAACAAAAAAACACCACAGAACAGGCTGCTGTGGAGCCAGGTTTCAGGGGGTTGCTGTTAAAACAGTAAAAAAAAAAAGTGAACTACTTGTCACCCCATAGTCTACCAGACTACCCCAGTTCCTTCTTGGATTTCCTAGGGGCTTTGGAAGGTCTGAATCGCTGTCATACCTGATTCTTCACAGGAGTCACATAGCCTTTCTCTCTCCAATCCACAGATTTTGGGAGGTGAAGAAGTAGAGGTTCCTGATATGTCTTCCCCTTCTTGTGCTTCTGGTGTTGAAAGCCATTCATCACCTGCCTGAATTCTTCATTGGTCTTCAGGGAAAGGTAAATTGAGAAGTTGAAAAGGCAAAGACACTACCTGGTAAAGCGGTGAGGAGTGCAGAGTTCAGCGACGGGCCCCACACTCACCATGTCCCCAAAGCGGTTCATGCCCATGGAGAAGCTGTGCTTTCCCTGGCTGTACTCCCCATTGTGCAGCTGAATCATTCGCATGTTCTTCTCCCACACCGCTCGCCTCCATCCTTCTTCATTCTACAAGTAAACATACATGCGATACAGGCTTCCTCGACAGAGCTGAAGAGAAACTGTAGGAGGCGGCTTTACACTCGTGGAGGTTGTGGCCCTGCGCTCTCCTGGCAGCTCTCAGGTGACTGCCTGGTATGAGCTGGCGGCCAGAAGCTACTCTGGCCATAAACTCCCCAAGGCAAGACCACACTCTGCAGCGCCCTTCGGAATGCAGAGACAGGATGTTACCAACCGTGCCGTACAATCTCCTGTGTGTGGACTTCCACTGGTCCCACTCTGCATCCAACGTCTGATCAAGTTTGGGAACAGCTGAGGCCAGTCCCAAGCAAAAGGCCGCCAGGACAAGTGACAGAGCCATGGTTCAAAAACCTAGAAAGAGAAACCAGCATTAACACAAAGTGTGTGAAAGGGCTGAAGAAAAACAGGCCAGGCATTCAGTAAAAACAAAAGGCAGGTATTTGATTCGGCTCCTGAAGCGGAAAACAAGTACTGACAAGCGCCACACAAATTGAGTTAAACTTCGCCGGAAGGGTGCAAGGATCATCTGAGCGGTGCTAAGCCTCAGGGTACTCATCGTTGGGAATCTCAGGCCAATAACCAGTAAACAAGGAAACGGAGGTCCAGATTATTCACCGGGCAGTACGAGTCACGCAGGTAAAGCTGAGGCCATCTGGCCCTAAGGAGGGGAGCAGGGCTCCCCAAGGGTTAGGAAGGATGCCACCTTCGTGACCAAAGTCCAGCAGGTGAGGTGTGCGCGAACCGAACCGTGAAACCTTTCCGGTCGCCTTCCCGGGAGCGCAGCCCGGGACGCTCCGAGACCCCACGCAGCGCTCGGGCACGGCCGGGGGTCGACGCCGGCCTCCGCGCCCACTGATGTTTTGGGGCGCGGGGGCGGTGGGTGCCTGGCCAGTCCCCGAGACGCAGCGGCCTGGGCGCTACGCGGCTCCGGAACCGGGGCTGGACGATCCACTGAACCCGGGACCCCTCCCCCACACGTCTCCCCGAGGCCCCTTCCCGCCGCCATCCTGCTTACGCCGGGCGCGGTGGGGGAGGGGGCTCACCTGGGAGGCCGCTGCGCAGGCGCACTCCGCAGAGACACAGCTGGGAGGTCGCGGAGCTCCCGGGATGCGGCCAACTCCGCCGACTCTGGCTTTAAAGCCCTAAGTCTGAGACCCGGCCGGCCCCGCCCCCGCAGGGCACGCCCCCGTCGCTACCTACGCTGCGATTGGCTGCTTCTGCTGCGGGGCCGAACCTGCGGGCTGGCGGACTCGGCCGCGTGACCCCGCTGGGTCATCGCCGACCCCGACCCCGGCCAGGGCGGGGCGCGGCGTCTGCCTGAGTGGGCCGCGGGGAGCGAGGAGGGGCGGGTCCTGGTCGCGGGTTTGCGGGTGTCGGGGCCTGGGCGCGCGGGGAGAGGGCTCGGGGGCTGGGGAGAGGTTGGGACCTGGGGTGGAGGTCCCGTGGCGACTGAGCGCGCGGCTTGAGTGCACTGAGCGACCCAGGCGAGCCCACTGTGGGTTCAGCCACGCACCCCCGCCCTGAGGACCTGTAGGTTTTAGCATCTCCTGCGGGGTCGTCACCGGTGCCCGTCAGTGTCTCCTGGTCAGTCCCCAGCAGAGGTGGAGCGGGCTGGACTATTCGGAAGATCGGGCAGACGTTGCTCCCTGCAACTTAGGGCTGGAGTTAAGAGGCTCCGGTGGGGGAAGATGATCCCGAGGTCACTGTCTGGACCCGGAGGGAAGGGACCTGGGCAGGGTCGCCGAGGCCGCTAGCGCTTGGCCACGCAGCCAGGCCCGGCTTCCCCGTTCCGGGGTTTCTTGCCCACCAGCATTTGTTTAGCGAAATAAATCCGTTTAATAAAGAAGAGCCGCGCGGTTGAGAAAGATGGAAACTGCTTTTACTTCTCACTCCCTACATTATGGATTATGTTTGTTCCCTAAATTCACTTTAATAATACTCACTTTATTTTAATAATATTTATAGAGTTGAGGTCACGCAGTTTGCGGAAATGATTTAGGTGGAGAACACGTCCATCCTATATAGAGATAAAGATTTAAGGAAATTAATTCCGAAAGGTTGCTGATTTTTAAAGTTATATAAGATGCGCGAGGTCCTGAGTTCAATCCCTAGCACCAAAATAAATAAATAATTCTACAAGAGCCACATTCATTGTAGGAAATATATTTTAGAAAATCAACATCGCTTTTTCCCCTCCCCCGTAAAAGTTTTTAGGTATTTGGTTTTAAGAAATGGCTTCACAGTGCGTATCAATTTGAAAATTCTTATTGAAAAATTAAATTGAACAGGACTTTTTTACCTCTCAAGTGGGTAACTAAAAAATTAAACTGATAACTTTTTTAGACGGAGGCACAAAGAAATGTTAAATATCAATTTATTTTTAAAATATTTATATCCATTGAAGAAGTAGAAGTTCTTCCTGCTCAAACACAGCCTGGAGCCTAAAGCTTACAATTGTATAGAGCATAGTTAATTATGGTGTTCGGCTTAGTAAGTGGGAGTGAATGAAGACCACCGTGAGAGAACAAGCTAGCCATAGATTCACAATGTGAATCAAGAGGAAGCAATCAAAGCTGGAGAGAAAAAGCTCTGTGTCTGGGACCCTCGGGTTTGCCCCTACTGGACTTGCTTCTCCCCCGGAAGCTGGAGGAGGAGGAAGTAGACATGCAGCACTTTTGCGATCTGTTTGGAGGAGTACATCTGGTTGGAAAAACAATTAGAAATAGGTCATGTTGTGTGATTAGTTTGGGGAGCGTACCGGCCGTTCTCTGGTTTGTCCAGGGTTCAGAGACAAAAGTAAGGAAGCTGTCAGCCACTGAGTAAGTCCTGATGTTCAGAGCTGGTCACCACGGAGGTCACACAGTTCTCTGCCGCTGTGGGTCGGAGTTCCAGTGCCTTCGATGTAGTTGGTCCACTGTGTTTGTTTACTGAGTGCATCACAAGCAATCTAAATTATTCTGACACGTGGGCTTTACAGCTACCCTTGGGCCACAACTCCCTAAGATTGCATAGGGTGGAAAAACCTGCTGCTGCATTAAGATCTCTGCCTTGAGCAATATCCTGGCAGCAGGCTGTGTGGCAGAAGCTGCTCCAAAGAATGGCATCCCCTTTGTTTCTCAGAATTGGAATGCGCCAGAGAAAACCTGGGTTCCTTTTATGTACCCAGAACCTAAAGTTAAACCAAGAAATAGCTAAATATAAGAGAATGACCACCAAGCAAGAGAGTGGAAGATATTATCCCAACTCGTAGTATCTATTTATATCTGTACACAATGGGCTAAATCATGCATTGCAAAAATGTAGCATGTTGGGTGTGGTGGCAACATGCCTATAATCCCAGCTACTCTGCAGACTGAAGCAGGAGGATCACAAATTTGAGGCTAGCATGGGCAATACAGTAAGTCCCAGCCTGAGATAAGAAGAGCTGCAGGGTGTTGTGGCACCCATCTGTAATCCCAGCCCTGGGGAGGCTGAGGCAGAAAGATCATTGGGAGGCCAGCCTGGACTACATAGTTCAAGTCCAGCCTGAATTACATTGTGAGATCCTGTCTCAAAAAAACAAACAAACAGAAATGCTGGGCGTGGTGATGCAGCCTGTAATCCCAGCACTCAGGAGGCTGAGGCAGGAGGATCATTGGGAGGCCAGCCTGGACTACATAGTTCAAGTCCAGCCTGAATTACATTGTGAGATCCTGTCTCAAAAAAACAAACAAACAGAAATGCTGGGCGTGGTGATGCAGCCTGTAATCCCAGCACTCAGGAGGCTGAGGCAGGAGGATGACCTCAAAGTCGAGGTCAGCCTAGACTACACAGTGCCTTCAAGGCCAGCCTAGACAAGAGCTTATGATGTAGCTCAGCACTCTCTGGGTTCAATCCCCAGTACTGACCAAAAAAAGTATTATTAGCTATTTTGTTCCACTCTCCCCCACAATAGAGGGGATTGAATCCAGAGCTTTGAGAATGAAAGGCAGGGGCTCTGTCTCTGAGATACGCCCCTGGCCTTTTTAATTTGTTTTGCTTTTGCTTTTTTGAGACAAGGTCTTACCATGTAATTCAGGCTGCACTCAAACTCATGGTGATCCTTCTGTCTCAGCTTCCCAAATGCTTAGATTATAAACACGTACTACCCTTCCCATCTCTAAACATTCCCTTTTTTTGAGCAATGTCTTGCTAAATTGCCTACGTTAGTTTTGAATTTGAGAACCGCTTGCTTCAGCCTAAGTAGCTGAGATTATAAGATTGTGTCACCATACTCCAATGCTTTTCCTATATTTTGATTCACACTTTGAAAAAAATTTTTGAGTTCATTAAGATCGGGTCTTATGTAGTCCAGGCTGGCCTCGAACTCTCAGAGATCCTCCTGACTCAGCTTCCTGAGTGCTGGGATTACAGGGGTGCACCACCATGCCCAGCTGAAAAAATAGTTTTGACTAGTCTTAATTATTACAATAATTACATTTTAGTCTGTTGACCAAGCCTTACCTGTGACTTTGATAAAAGGCCATGGGAGGGGCTGGGGATTTAGCTCAGCGGCAAAGCGCCTGCCTGGCAAGCGCAAGGTCGTGAGTTCGGTTCCCGGTACCGGAGAAAAACCAAA